AAGATCATGGTAAATGTGTGCAGGAAAAAGACTGTCAGCTTTAGAAACAAATCGGTTTGAGTTTAAATCAGTTTGGCTACTAGATAGCTCTGTGACCTTAAGCAGGAACATACGGTGGAGTTGTTCACAAGTAAATACTTTATCAGGATGTTTTCTCTCTCTGAGGACACTTAGAAGAAACTTCTTTATTATCTTATGATCAGATATATTTGCTATTTTTCTAAGTAATTGGTTTGCTTTGATTTTAAGAATATAAAAATATGATGTCAATTTCCCTTTCAGAATAGCTGTTTGCAAATCTGAAGGCAAATGTATGGTACAACTCTAGCTAGCTATTGCACATCATCGAATGTACCAAGCTTTCTATTATTTCACTTTATTTTCATTTCACCTCATTTTTCTGACTTATCTGTGTTTTATCTAGCTATACTGTTCGCAATATTTACATTTGGGACAAAACGAGGGTTGAATAACTCAAACAAATTAGTCTTGAAGGAAGTACAGCCAGAATGCTTCTTAGAAGTGAGGATGGCGAGGCTTCATCTTGCTTACTTTGGACATGTCATCAGGAGGGACCAATCACTGGAGAAGGACATCATGCTTGGTAAAGTAGAGGGTCAGTGAAAAAGAGGGAGACCTTCAATGAGATGGATTAACACAGTGGCTGCAACAGTGGGCTCAAATATACCAATCACTGTGAGGACGGTGCAGGACCAGTCAGTGTTTTGTTCTGTTATGCATAAGGTTGCTATGAGTTGGAGCCGACTTGAGGGCAACAACAACATACTATATATATCAGCCTCTTGTATTAGGTCCTTTATAATACAAGGTCTTTTGCAGTAGATTTGCCCAATGCAATACATCATTTGATATCCTGACTGCTGCTTCTTTGGTTACTGATCTAAGTAGAATGAAATCCTTGACAACATCAATTTCTTCACCATTTATCATGATGTTGTTTACTGGTCCAGTTGTGAGGATTTTCATTTTCTTTACATTCAGGTGTAATTCATACAGGAAGTGCTTCAGGTCGTCCTCATTTTCAGCAAGCAAAGTTGTGTCATCTGCATACTGCAAGTTGTTTAACGAGTCTTCCTCCAATTCTGATGCTGCATTATTCTTCATATAGTCCGGCTTCTCAGATTATTTGTTCAGTGTACAGATTGAATTAAGTATGGTGAAAAGATACAACAAAAGGACACAAGTTTAAATATCAGCATAAAGGATGTGTTTTAGAAGGAAAAAAAGCATTTGCCTGACCCTGAGTTTTAACACAAATTGCAGAAACTTGCTCTCTGAAGCTTTGAAAATAATACCAACTCTTCTTAATTTTTGAAAATTTGCTTGAGGTCCGAAGAAGTTTATGGACTAAGACTCCAGGTTTTTACACTGAAAAACAGTACTTTAAGCATAATCCATTACTGCTTTGGATCTCTATTCCTAGCTGGCACAGGATATCTTGAACAAGTAGGTGAGATAAGTTTGTAAATTTCTCACTATACAAGTGGACAGCCAGAAAATCAAGATGTAGTCTGAAAGTATTCAGCAGCAGCACAAGTAACAGTATCAGTGCAGAAGCAGCAACACAAGCTATCATTTACTAAATTCTTACCATGTATCAGGCCTATATTAAGCATTTTATCTATAATATCTTATTTAATCTCCACAATATCGCTAGAGAATAGGGATCACTATTCTCATTTTATGAATAAGGGAACTTGGGCTCTGAGAGGTTGAGGAAAATAATTAAGATCACAGAGTTATTAAATGGTAGAACCAGGATTAAAATACAAGTCTGACTACAAGCTATACATAGAAAAGCTCTTTTCCACTATATAAATCCTGCTCTGTCCTATACCTAATTTTTATTAAAATTATTTGTCCTTTCCTTTTAAAAACAAGGAGTTTTTTCCAACTCCATAGAACTTTCAGAGGAGAGCTGAAATTACTGAACATAGCACTCATTTTTTTGTCAAGAGTTAATGGGAAGTTTTATTTGATATCTTAGCTCATCGGTTTTTATATGCTATGCTCATTTTCAGTGGTCCTAGTCACAGGTATGAAATATGAAAAGGTGAAGCAACAGACACTCTAGCCATGAAAAGCACACAGAACATATTATTAATAAAATAATTTCACATAAATAGTAAACTCCAGAGATGAACTGTTTAACTGTGTTCAGTCAACAGGTATTAAGCACCTGTGTGCTGGCTAATAAAAACACAGCAATAGAGAATGGTCTTTGAACTCACATAGCATACTAATGGGGAAGAAAGATAATTAAACAGATTACACTGTATTACGTACTATGAAAGAGGAAATGGTGCTAAAGAATATACAGGAGGATATTTAGGGGCATGGAGATGGGCACAGGCAGAATGGCGGGACCAGGACAGAAATCCAGGCAGAAGGAACGTGCACAAAGGCCCCGAATGGGCTAATAACTCAACCTATTCAAGGAATTGAAAGAAGTTCCTTATAACTTGGCATAGTGAGCAAGCAGGAGAATAGTACAAGATGAAACTAGAAAGGTAGGGAAGGGTCTGATCAAGCAAGGACTTACAGGCCATGTTAAAGATTTGAATTGAACAACAAGGAAAAGTTTTTGAATGGTTTTAAGTAAGGAAATACCATAATCTGATTAGTGTCTGGAAACAATCACTCTTCTAACAGCCTTGCTGTTTTCTGTAATGTATCTCAATCAAAAAATTAAATAAAATTTAAAAAGTATCTCCCCATAAAAAGACAAAGGCAACATTTCAGAAATAAATGAAGTTTAGATTTAAGGCAAAACTACATAAAAAGAGAAATTAATATACTATCTGATTCTACAGTGAAAGGGGAACAAATAATCTGAATCGAATATGAGTTTAATAAAGTTTCTCTCTAAAAAAAAACCAAACCCACTGCCATTGAGTCAATTCCGACTCATAGTAACCCTATAATAACCTGGGAAAGTCTTCTAGGCAGGCATATACATTGTGCTTCCTTTGAGAGACTACTACTGTAGCATTTATCCAGCTGGTAGGAGAAAGAGTGATGGAAACATGTATTATGGCTGATCTCTCATTAACCAGACTATACAAAATGAGCAAGCTTCAGCTGTAAAGTTTGATAATTACAATGTACTTAATAATTAGGGTAGTTTTTTGAGTTGCATCAACCCAATATACCACTCCATATATGTGGAACAAAAGAAAAAAATTATTCTCAGACTTACCTCACTCTCCACACAGTACTGAAAAACAGAGCACAAGGTTTTGTATGGGGAAATATCAGTTTCAATTTGCCGCTTTTTTTTTCCTTCTTTTTGGCGGTCAATTCAAAATAAACAAATATAAATTGAATGTTTACCAAGTGTTTGCCAAATTTATTTGTGAAAGCTTTATGGTAGCAAAACCTTACCAACAGTACAGCTGTCTTCAAGTACCACATCAACATTTCTGTCTCTGTACTCAACCCTGAAGTCCAGCATCCGAGGTTGCCTCTCTACAATTTGCCTGGATGGCATTACGGGTCGAAATGCTGAAGAAGAAGAGGGAGCAGGAGCTGAAGCTGAATGACTTGCTGGAACAAATGCAGGTCCTGGTATGGTCTCACGTCCGTATTCACTGAAATGTTGACAGAAAAGAAGGATTACTGTCAACCAAATCATTACACAGTATCACTAAGGGCCCTTGTCCATCCTTTGCTTGTGTTGTTCTTATCAAGTTTACCTACCTGTGCATCAAGGCCTAACTTAGGTTCTACTTCCTTCACAAAATCTTCCCCAGTGACAGAAGTTTACATTACTTACCCCTCCATCCTTACCTTTCTATGCCTGTTAGCAATATCCTATCATTTAGCATTTAATGAAATTTTTGCCTTGTGTCATGATGATACTGGTAAAACATCATTTTAAACTCACTTAATTAAGAACACTGTTTTCTCCTTCATTCACTCTCATTTATGCAATGATTCATTACTTGACTCATTCACTCTACTTTCCACAAAGACTACAGTATCAAAACTTCTCCACCATCCTCAAACCTCCATTCTCCCTATCTCACTCCTCACTCTCAAAAGATGATATTGTTTCCTACTTTGCAGAGAAGAAGGATGCCATCAAGAGGAATTCCCTCATCTTCTTGACATCATATCCACAACAATAACCTGCATATGTACTCTTTCTCCCTTCCTGTAAAATAGAGGAGACATCATTCCTCCTATCTATACAAAAACCTAAAACCATCTTCTCATTAGCTTTCCACTGTGGATTATCCTCTTCCTTTCTAGTATCTGCAACAACTTCTCCCTCTCTTCTAGATTATTCTCATTAACATTCAAACAAGCAAATCTCTCCATTATAAAGAAAAATAAAAATGAAATCCTGGCTTTACCCATTTAATAGCTATCTCACTTGTAAAGCGGGAAATGTAATTCTGTTTGCAAGGTTTAAAGCAGATAGTGTATATAAAGGGTTTAGCACAATGTCTGGTAACTAGTAAGAACTCAAACCTCAAACTTAGTACACCAGATAAGATTAGTAGTTAGGGAGGACAGACTTGCTTCTACTTGTATACATTTTCATAAGCATCACCTGGCAAGTTCAAGACTCCTGCTTTTTTCAGCTTTCTCACAATCAGCTTCTTGACTTCTCAGAGATGCTAGCAGAAACTGGATATGTGCATTTCTCAGAAGTCTTAGCCTCAGCTCCACGGGGCCACTCTAAGCTTCAAAGTGTTGCTAACCACTTTGTTCCCTAAGAGTGGTAACTTACTCCAGTAGTTAATATATCTAGATTACTTCAGTTTTCCCTTTTTGCTCTTTTAGTTCTCCACACTATGTAACTAAACAAACATTAAATTCCCTCTCTTGAAATACCTAGTGTGGTTTCATTTTCCTGACTGGATTCTGATACAATGGACAGGCCCCAGGAAACATACCCTCAAAGATGGGATTCAGGAATTGGCTTGATTATACCCTTAACCTTCAGTGCAGTACTGTTTTAACTCCTTGCCAATGGAAAAAGGGATACCAGTAATCCATGCCATGCACTGACAAAATGTTTAATTAAATTATCACTTGTAGTTCATAATGACATGTCTATTGAAACAAAGTCACTGTTTCACATAACCATTATGGTGGCAATAATGACAGTAAGGAACGACTGCTTCTGAATCTACTAGAGAGCTTACAAAACTAAATGAAAAGCTCGGCGTTTTACACTCTCAGCTCAAGTCATGATAAGAGAGCTACAGAGCTTCAAAAATGGTTCCAAAAGAGTTTATTTCTCGTAATCACAGAGAAGACCTTGCTGAGAATTAGATTCAAAATGTGACTGGGCAGATTTGCAGAATTACAGTGAAAGCTGAATATCATACTTTCTAAGTGAAAGTTAAGGCATTATTTTGAAAGGAGTAGGGCTCTGAGGTGTAGAATGGCGACACCTGGGGGAACTCAGATGAAGGTTAGAATCTTGAACTCCCGGAGTCTTTCTCAGTCTCTTTTTTAAGCAGAAACAGCCCCTCCTCACATGACTGAGGCTACCCTTGCTTGAAAATACTGTAAAACGCTTACCTGAAAGAGTTGCCTTGAAAGGGGATACCTATTCTCAAAACCCAGTTTGTTGTACTGTGGGGGCTTGCGTGTTGCTGCAATGCTGGAAGCTATGCCACTGGTATTCAAATGCCAGCAGGGCCACCCATGGTGGACAGGTTTCAGCTGAGCTTCCAGACTAAGACAGACTAGGAAGAAGGACCTGGCAGTCTACTTCTAAATTAAATTATACACTGAAAACCGGATGAATAGCAGCAGAACATTGTCTCATATGGTGCTGGAAGATGAGCCCCTCAGGTTGGAAGGCACTCAAAATACAACTAGGGAAGAGCTGTCTCCTCAAAGTAGACTCGACCTTAATGACGTGGATGAAATCAAGCTTTCGGGATCTTGGTTTGCTGATGTGGCACAACTCAAAATGAGAAGCAGCAGCTGCAAACTTCCATTAATAATTGGAACGTGGAATGTATGAAATATGAATCTAGGAAAATTAGAAATCATCAAAAATGAAACGGAAGGCACAAACATTGATATCCTAGGCATTAGTGAGCTGAAATGGGCTGGTATCAGCCATTTGGAATCAGAAAATCATATGGTCTATTATGCCTGGAATGACAAACTGAAGAGGAAAGGCACTGCATTCATTGTCAAAAAGAACATTTCAAGATCTGTCCTGAAGTACAACGCCATCAGTGATAGGATAATATCCATACACCTACAAGGAAGACCAGTTAATATGACTATTGTTGACATTTACGCACCAACCACTAAGGTCAAAGATGAAGAAATTAAAGATTTTACCAACTTCTGCAATCTGAAATTGATCAAACATACAGTCAGGATGCATTGATAATTACTGATGATTGGAATGCAAAACTTGGAAACAAAGAAGGACTGGAAATTAGAAAATATGACCTTGGTGACAGAAATGACTCTGGAGATCACATGACAGAATTTTGCAAGACCAAAAACTTCTTCATTCCAAATACCTTTTTTAACCAACATAAACAGCAATTATATACATGGACCTTGCCAGATGGAATAGATAGAAATCAATTCGACTACATCTGTGGAAAGACACAATGAAAAAGCTCAATATCATCAGTCAGAACAGGGCCAGGGGCCAACTGTGGAACAGACCATTAATCGCTCATATGCAAGTTCAAGTCAAAGCTGAGGAAAATTAGAACAAGCCCACGAGGACCAAAGTACAACCTTGAGCATATCCCATGTGAATTTAGAGACCATCTCAAGAATAGATTTGACGAGTTGAACACTAATGACTGAAGACCAGACGAGTTTTGGAATGACATCAAGGACATCATATGTGAAGAAAGCAAAAGGTCATTAAAAAGACAGGCAAGAAAGAAAAGACTAAAATGGATGTCAGAAGAGACTCTGAAAGTTGCTCTTAAATGTTGAGTAGCTAAAGCAAATGGCAGAAATGATGAAGTAAAATAGCTGAACAGAAGATTTCAAAGGGCTGCTCAAGAAGACAAAGTAAAGTATTCTAACACGTGCAAAGACCTGGAGATAGAAAACCAAAAAGGAAGAACACAGTTGGCATTTCCTAAGCTGAAAGAACTGAAGAAAAAATTCAAGCCTCGCGTTATAATACGGAAGAATTCTATGGGGAAAATATTAAATGACACAGGAAGCATCAAAATAAGATGGAACGAACACACAGAGTCACTATATCAAAAAGAATTGGTCAACATTCAACCATTTTAGGAAGTAGCATATAATCAGGAACTGATGGTACCGAAGTAAGAAGTAGAAGCTGCACTGAAGGCAGTGGCGAAAAACAAGGCTCCAGGAATTGATGGAATATCAATTGAGATGTTTCAACAAACAGATGCAACACTGAAAGTGCCTATGAAATTTGGAAAACACCTACATGGCCAACTGACTGGAAGAGATCCATATTTATGCCTGTTCCCAAAAAAAGGTGAACCAAACGAATGCAGAAATTATCGAACAATATCATTAATATCACACGCAAGTAAAATTTTGCTGAAGATCATTCAAAAGCAGCTGCAGCAGTCTATCCACAACGAATTGCCAAAAATTCAAGCCAGATTCAGAAGAGGACATGGAACCAGGGATATCACTGCTGATGTTAGATGGCCCCTGGCTGAAAGCAGAGAATACCAGAAACATGTTTTCCTGTGTTTTACTGACTATGCAAAAGTATTTGACTGCGTGGATCATAACAAATTACGGATAACATCATGAAAAATGGAAATTCCAGAACATATAATTGTGCCCATGAGAAACCCGTACACAGACCAAGAGGCAGTGGTTCAAACAGAATAAGGGGATACTGCGTGGTTTAAAGTTAGGAAAGGTTTGTGTCAGGTTGTATCCTTTCATCCTACTTATTCAATCTGTACAGTGAGAAAATAATCTGAGAAGCTGGACTATATGAAGAAGAATGGAGCATTAGATTGGAGGAAACTCATTAACAACCTGTGTTACACAGATGACACAACTTGCTTTCCAAGTACTTGAAGCACTTACTGATGAAGATCAAAGACCACAGCCTTCAGTATGGATTACACCTCAACATAAAGAAAACAAAAATCCTCACAACTGGACCAATAAGCAACATCATGATAAACAGGGAAAATATTGAAGCTGTCAAGGATTTCATTTTACTTGGACCCACAATCAACACCCATGGAAGCAGAAGTCAAGAAATTAAACAACACATTGCAATTGGCAAATCTGCTGCAAGAGACCTCTTTAAAGTGTTAACAAGCAAAGATGTCACTTTAAGAAGTAAGGTGCGCCTGACCCAAGCCATGGTGTTTTCGATCACCTCATATGTATGTGAAAGCTGGACAATGGATAAGGAAGACCAAAGAAGAATTGACGCCTTCGAATTATGGTGTTGGCAAAGAACACTGAATGTACCAAGGACTGCCAAAAGAACGAACAAATCTGTCTTGGAAGAAGTATAACCAGAATGCTCCTTAGAAGCGTGGATGGCGAGACTATGTCTCACATACTTTGGACATGTTATCAGGAGAGACCAGTCCCTGGAGAAGGACATCAAGCTTGGTAAAGCAGA